GGCAGCTGCGAGGAGCCGTCCTCCTCGCCGGGCGCACTGCCTCCCTCTCTGAATAGAAGCAGCGTTCTGTGACAAAGGACGGGAGGGAGATGAGTGTGGGTGAGTCATCGTCATCACACAGATTGGGGTGCTGAGGTGAGCTGAGCCACGTGGAGTTGGAAGTTTCTCTGAGGACATTTTGGGAAAACTTCAACAAGCACTCTGGGGGTTCCCCTGAGAAACTGATTCTAGGTCTGGGACCGATTGCTAAAAGGAGCCTGGAGGAAAGCCAAGGAATAAGGGTGTGTTATCAGGTCACAGCAGCCACCCGTGACCAGCCGAGATGGGGCACTCTGAGCGCTGTGTGATCAGGGATGGGAATGAGTGAGCCATTGAGATGCTACGTGTCCAGGAGCCGGTGCTGACGACAGAGGCGTAAGTGGCTCCATCATGGAGGAGAAGGCCCCTGCTGGCCCCTGCACAGCACCTGTTGGGGCTGGAACTGTCATTTCCATGCCATATTGTGGGGCAGATGGAGTCAGGGAGGGACCCCAGGAATGTGGCACGTAACATCTGTGCCTGCAGGGGGGACATCCCAGGAGGGCTGCAGCATCACCTGTGCAGGAGGAAGCACTAGACAAACTCCAAATGAAGGATGGTCCTTAACAACAAAAGACAAAGGTGGTGGAATGTTCCAGATGAAAGGGGACAGGCCCACTAAGATGTAGTCAGGACCCTGGACTCGATCCTGTGCAGGAGGGAAGGTGAGCTGAAGTTACTATAGTAAAGAACTTCCATACCTTCAGGAAGGAGACACTCACCGAAGTATTAGGGGTAAAGGGCCAAGGTGATTCCGAAAAAATACCGTGTAATTTACCCCATATTATAAACTTACACACACAGAGTGAGAGCGTATGTGCAGACACACATACACGTGATAAAGAAAAGGCGTAGCATGTTAACAGTGGGTGACTCGAGGAAAAGGTATTCTTTGTACTTGAATAATTCTAATAACTTATAAGTTTGAAATTATTCTAAATAAAATGTTTTAAGAAATGAGATGGCAAATAAGCCCATGAAAAGATGCTCAACGTCGTTAGTCATTAAGGCAATACCAATTAAAACCATGCCGACATGTCATTTCACGCTTATTTGATTGGCTCCTGGAAAGAATCGACAGGAGCAGGGACTGGCGACAGTGTGGAGCCCCTGGGGCTCCCCTGCACTGTGGATGGGAAGGCCAAACCGTGCAGGTGGTTTGGAAAACACTTCGACAGTTTTTATAAAGTTACATGTGCACTTAACCATAGGACCTAGCAGTCCCACTGCTGGATACCTACGAAGGGGAAAGGAGACCACAAAGCCCTGCAGGCAGCCTGGTAGCTGACCGCTGAACCCTGGAAACACCCACCTGTCCACCCACAGGCGCGTCGGCCTATGTCAGGGGGTGACCCCCATGCGCGCGTAGCATGGCTGAACACCAGGCCACTGTGCTAAGAGAAGAGCAGACCAACAGACACAGACCAACAAAATGGCAAAGCAAGTGTCAGGGGCTGAGGGGATCGCCGTCGAAAGGGGACCGCGAGCTTTGGGGTATGGCTCGATAGCAGTGGTGGCTACGTGGCTGCATTTGTCAAAACTCATAGGATGCACCCTCGAGAGAGTGAATTTTACTGTGTGCCAGCTTACGCCTCCACAAACCTGATTAAAAAAAAATAACAAAATGTTAAAATAAAAAATCAAATGTTAAACCATCAGACTGCTTTATCAAAGATGTTACTTTTAGACCTGAATCCTTGAGCTCCATTCCAAGAACATTTCACCCATGTCCTCTCGATGCTGTACTCTGTATTATTCCACCTGAAACAGGAATGAAGTTCTGACCCACTAGCATATGAATGGACCGTGAGGACATTGTGCTGAGTGAAAGAAGCCAGGCACAGGACACATAGCCTGTGGGTCCGTTTTGGGGAAATGTCCAGAACAGGCAAATAAATGATTTGTTGCCAGGTCTGGGGGAGGGACAGAGTGGGGAGTGACTGCTCATGGGCACGGGTTCTCCTTTTGTGGTGATGAGTGTTCTGGAACTAGATAAGAGGTGGTAATAGCTCAGACTCTTGTGAATGCGCTAAATGCTTTGAACTGTTCACCTTAAAATGGCTAATTTTATGTTAATGTGAATTTCCCCTTAAATTATTTTCACTGTGGTGCTGGGCTCATCTTGATGTTTATTGGGTCTGCAGAGTGCCCATGCGGACTTGTTCTGTGGACACAAGAGGCCCGGGCAGCGAGGCCCACCAGGCTCCTTGTTTTCAGGGTCAGTCCCTTTGAGCCCCCGAGCTGTGTCGTGCCTGGATATGTGTGTGGACCTGGCTGGGACACCCCGTGTGTGGTTCGTACGCGCAGAAGCAGCAGCAGAGCCCCGGGGTGGGGATTGGGCTGACCCCACAGTGCTGTCACGGGCTGTTGGCCCAAGCATGGCTCTGTTCTGCCTGTAGCGCTGGGTGATCCAGGTGAGGCGCTGACTTCCAGGTAGAGGTAATAGTGGGTATTTTACAGAGGTTGTGAGTGCTAACGATATACGTTAGAGAGATCTTGGCCATGATGACGACTAACGAAGATACAAGTAAAATGAGTCTAAAGGGTCTGTTGTCTCTGGAGATTTACAGTCGTCTCTCAGTACCTCAGGGGATCGGTTCCAGAACCCAGCCCTCCCCCCACCTCTCCCCCCCCGCTCCTTGTTTTCAGGGTCAGTCCCTTTGAGCCCCCGAGCTGTGTCGTGCCTGGATATGTGTGTGGACCTGGCTGGGACACCCCGTGTGTGGTTCGTACGCGCAGAAGCAGCAGCAGAGCCCCGGGGTGGGGATTGGGCTGACCCCACAGTGCTGTCACGGGCTGTTGGCCCAAGCATGGCTCTGTTCTGCCTGTAGCGCTGGGTGATCCAGGTGAGGCGCTGACTTCCAGGTAGAGGTAATAGTGGGTATTTTACAGAGGTTGTGAGTGCTAACGATATACGTTAGAGAGATCTTGGCCATGATGACGACTAACGAAGATACAAGTAAAATGAGTCTAAAGGGTCTGTTGTCTCTGGAGATTTACAGTCGTCTCTCAGTACCTCAGGGGATCGGTTCCAGAACCCAGCCCCCCCCCCCCCCCCCCCCCCCCCCCCCCCCCCCGAAGGATACCAACGTCCAAGGATGCTCTAGTCCCTTACATAAATGGTGTAGTGTTTGCATGTAACCTGTGCACATCCTCCTGTTTACTTCACATCATATACCTAATGCAATGCAAATACTATGTAAACAGTTGCTGAAGTGTGACAAGTTCAAGTCTTGCATTTTGGAACTTTCTGGAAAATTTTTTTTCCAAATATTTTTGATCTGGAGTTGGTTGACTTCAGTGGATGCAGAACCTGTGGATACAGAGGGCTGACTTCCTCAGAAGTCTCTCCTGGCATGGTAAGAAGAGAATGTATTTCCTCCGTGGAAGGTTTCTGTTGCACTGGCGCAGTGATCTGCAGCTCTGTAAAGACGGGGCTCAGTGCTCGGCACTGGGGGCTCTGAGGGCCAGGTCAGGTCTGCGCGTGCAAACAGGAGAGTACAGTTGGCCAGAAGCTGGCTAGAGAGAGCATCTGAAAACAAGCTGCACCCTGAATGTAAACAGTGGCATTGAAAGAGTAGAGGTCATTCATCTGATCAGGTGGGCAGGGGGTGCTCAGAACCCCTGCCATCTCAGCCCTGCCATCTTCACGCTCAGAAGTGGGGCGACTTGCTTTTGTAATGTGCTGAGATGCTGACATTCGTGCTATGCTTGTGGTTTCCTGGAGGTTGTCTCCACTGTGTGACCCGCCCTCATCACTGCCCACGCCTCAGCCGCTCTCAGGGCCGGGACTTAGCTCTGCTGTGACCCTGTGGGACCTGGGCTCCGCAGGAGCTCTCCGTGGACTCGGGCAGCAGGGCTGGAGCTGGCAGCACCGCTCCCCGCAGCCCGTGAGCCATGGGGCCGACTTCTTAGGACCCATGGGCATGCGGTGTCTTCACAGATGTTGCCTGTGGGCCAGCTCGCACTCCACTTTGTCAGGATTGCCCACTGGCCAGTAAGCCTCTCCTCATGGTGCTCCTGTGCGGAAGCGCTGCTCTCACTGCTGGCTCCGTCATCCCTGTGTCACCTCCCTGCCCCTCTGGGCATGAGTGGGGGTTGCATCCCGTCTGAGAATGGACAGAGTGAGGGAGCGTGGGCAGCCCTCCTGTCAGTTCTTAGCCAGTGAGTAAAGAGTTTCCCGATGAGCCGGCCAGTGACCACGGGGAGGAGGTGGCCTGGGCCCTCCCTGTGCGGTCCCTGGGATGCGTGTACTTGGCATCAGCTTCAGGCAAAGCCCTGCTATTCTGCAGTCCCCGTCTCTGAGTTCTTGTGTCCCCCCGACTTCCCCCGTCCCTCACTGGGCTGCACCGCGAGGCTGAGTGGCAGGTGAGTCACATGCAGCGGTCGCAGGATTGGGGAGCCACTCTTGCAGCCTCCTGGCCAGGGACGAGAATGGGACAAGGCGCCTGGGCGTCTGGCTGGGGGGTAGTCATTGTCAGGCCGAGTGCTTGGTCCCCCCAGCAGGCAGGAGCCTGGGTGCTGCACTTGGAGGTGGGAACGGTCAGCAGGAGGGAGAGGGGTGAGCTAGCGGGGCCCGGGCAGGTGGATGTTGACAGAAGCTCCTGTTCGGGCTCAAGCTTCCCTCGGTAGCTCGGGAGACCGTGACGGGGTCTGGGTACCAGCGGATGGGGCAGCTCGGAGTGCTGGGAAACGCCCCCCTCTGGTCCGAGCAGGCTGGGCTTCTGGTGACTGAGCGGTGCGGGTGCTGATGCCTACGGGGGTCAGTGTCTTCTGAGAGGACCTGGGGGACAAGGACCGCAGGCACCGCCCAGTCATGGTGGTGGAGAGTGGAATACTCAGTGCCCGGGGTCCGGACAGCCCCGCTGGGTCCCTGGTGCCACCTGCCCGACACTGACTGTGTCTCTGCCCTCGTGTGCCAGGTGAGCCTGAACAAAGTGGGCGAGTACTGGTGGAGCGCCATCCTGGAGGGGGAGGAGCAAATCGACATCGACCAGATCAACAAGGAGCGCTCCATGGCCACGGTGGACGAGGAGGAGCGTGCTGTCCTGGACAGGCTCGCCTTCGACTACCAGCAGAAGCTGCAGGGCAAGCCGCAGAGCCACGAGCTGGTACGGGCCCTCTGGGGCCGGAGCGGGGGCGGGGCATGCTGCTGCGGGCTCCTGGCGCGGGCACGCCGGCCTGCTGGCCGCCTGGGACGGGGCGCCCAGCCGGCAGAGCCAAGAGCTGCCTGTCCGCGGGGTCCCGGTGGTATCGCCTGTTGGTAGCTGACACGCTGGGGCCGCTGGGGCCGTGCGGACGGATCCCTCCCCTCAGCCCCTTCAGGACCCTCAGCACAGGAGGGAGAGTCAGGCCCAGCCCTGCCTCGGGGCCGGTGCGGGTTTGACCACAAAGGGCCAATGGGAAGAAAGTCCTTCCAAGTCACTTCCGAATGTCAGGAGGCGTGAGAAGTGTGCGTGCGGCTGTGGGGGCACGGGAGGAAGTTAGTGACTGAAGAGGAGGCTCGTGCCTGAGCCTGCGGTGGCCACAGTGAGGAGGATTAGTTAGACGTGTACCGTCTTCCTTCTGCTTTAGCACTCCCAAGAGTGGCTCCCTGCAGAAGTGAGGGTTGCTTTTCTCAGGTTATTTTTAGTTCCCAGTGTCTCATGTGAACAGCGCCGGGAGTTTGAGCCATGGCACCACGGCCCATCTCCAAGGCTGCTCATGTGTCAGATAGGAGGCCCGCCCTCCACCCCACCCCCAGTGCCATTCAGATTCTCAGCCGTCCTGTTTTGTCTCCCAGGGGCCTCACTTTGTGGCTCCTATGAGTGTTCTAGGCCTGGGGCCGTCGAGCGCCCCCGCCCACTGCCCGCGTGCCTGTGGTCCTTCCTTTCTGTCTCATTCAGACCTTGCATGCAAACAGCCCGCCTCGCTCTTTCAAGGGCCAAGGAGCCATGGAGGGGCGTGCTTAGTGAGTGCTTACTGCGCGCAGGTTGGGTCGGGTTGGCTGGGTCATGGTCCCCGTCGCAGCACCCCTGAGAGGGGGGTCGAGGTTTAGAGGTCGCAGCACGTGTTCAAGGTCCCACAGCTGGTCTGGCAGCAGGGCTGGGGTTTGAACCCTGAGCTGGTTCCAGTCTTTTCTGTCACCCCTCCCTGAGTCTCTGAATTGCCTCTTGGTCTGGCTCCCTGACCCACCTGGGCTTTTGGGGCTAGAGGCCAGGGCTACGGTTGACCACTGGATCACAGGCATCTGCTGGTCTTGTCTACGGAAACTGGCCCCTGGCTGTAATCGCTGAGCTCGCAGGGCACAGGACGCGTAGTGCAACCCACCTCTGCGCACGTTTAGGCGGCAGTTTTAGCCAGTTGTGCTGCACTTGCCTGTGGCCACCAGGTGAAAGAGCACTCTGAACGCTGGCCTGACGGGAGGGGACCTTGTGCAGCCGTCGAAAGTGTGGGTGTCGCTGCCCCGAAGCGGGCAGGCACCTGGCTGTGAGACCCAAGTAGGAAGCCGAGTCCCTGTTGATGAGCTCAGGGATGGGGCCGGCCGATCAAGAAGGATCTGAAAAAGAGCCTGGAAAACCCTGCAGTCTAATGGAAAGACCTCTGGTTTGAGTCGAAAGGGATTCTGGAAGGGCTTGCCGTGTGCCAGGCAGTGTGCCTGACCACGAAGGGGCGTGAGTGCCTGGCTGAGTGCAGTGCCCTGCGGAGACCTTCAGCAGACACACAGGAGCCCATGGCTGGTGGTGCAGGTGGCAGGACTCAGGGGTGACCCCTCGCCCAGCTGACCTGCTCCTGGACGGGTAGGAGCCTCCAGCTCGCCGGCCCTCGCTGGAGATGGTAGAGGACTGACACCTCAGGGCTTAGCAGACACTCGGGGCCTCCCAGGCTTCCACGTGGACTGTCCTCAGTACACGGGGCCTTGAGGGAAGCGCAGTGCGGCCAGCAGGATCTGGACGGAGAGAAGAGCTTTGGAGGCGCGAGGAGCCAGTAGAGCTGGCGTGGCCTGGCGGTGAGGGAGCTGGGCTTCGCGGTGCTGAAGCCACGGACAGTCTCTGGAGTCCTCGGAGGAAAGCGTCCCCAGGAGAAGGAAATCGGGGCTGGAGAGTCAGCAGGACTGGCTGGTGGCTTCAGATGGGGGCTACGGGGAGGAGGGGTGGCTTAAGAAAGCAGGTGGTGGCCATGAGGGGCGTGCGGCAGGACCAGCGTGGGCAGCGGGCCGGGGCCCCGTGGAGCTGGAGCGTGAGGGTCAGGGCTCACTCGGCAGAGGAGGTGCTCGGGTGAGGGGCACAGAGCGAGTTGGGAGACCGGGAGGAGGGGCTTCGGAGGGGTAGGTGGGCGAGAGCTAGAGGAAGAGGGATGGGGCGGAGGGGGAGGCCTGGCCCATCAGGGCTGCCAGGAAGCCCTGGAGTCGGGCTGGTGGGCGGGGCCGGCCTCTCTGGCCCCTTCTCCCCAGGGGGCGGCCTGCTCCTCCAGTGCCCTTCCCAACGTCCCTGGCGTGTGTCATCTGTACCGAGTTGGGAGTAATACGGATTAATCCCTGAGGTGTACTACCCATCTTTGATGTGTTTGCTGCGGCACCACGTAGGTTTAATAACAGGGAAAAGAAGGCCCCCGTCAGGAGGAGAGTCCTGCAGCCTCGCCAGGCACCGGGAGTCTTCCCCTCAGCGCGGTCTGTCAGCCTAGAGGCCAGAGGTGGGCAGGGCTTTCTGGCTCCGCGGCAGTGAGTCTCTTTGTTTCTCCTGGCCAGAAGGAAGGGGAGATGGTTCCCAGCCTGATGCATTTGCAGGGAAGCACAGAGGGCAGACCCAGGGACCCGCGGGGAAGGAGGGCCTACAGCACCGCGAGGGACCTCCCTCATGGGCGCAGCCTCCGGCCGTGCCCTGGCCCAGGCCACAGTGCTTGGCCTGCTGCCGCCCCTGAAGGCTGGATGGTCCAGGCTGCCCGTGTGCTGGGATACGTGATCCAGCAGCTTTGACCTGTGCCCCCCAGGGGCTGCAGGGGTCGGTGACTGGTGGGTCCACAGCCAGACTTCCTGAGGTCTTTCTGAGTCACAGCCTGGTTCATTCCCAGACTATCTGAGGGTGCAGGCCTCGAGGCCACCAGCCTTCTCCCTGGGAAGGGGGAGCAGAGAACCCCTCTTTGCACCTCAGTCAGCCCTGTGGGCTGTAGCCCTCAAGCCATTTGGAGTTCGGACAGGTATTTCTGGTGAGAAGGGACGGCATCTGAGCCAGAAAGATGGCCGGTGCTTCGCTGGGGACAAGATGGGGGTGGAATCTGCATGTGGGGAGCACAGTCTTGCGGAGGGTCTGCTGTCACCCTGGGCAGGTCCTCTTCCGGAGGAAGCAGAGCAGAGTCCTGCTCTAGGACGTGCGGGCCTGGTGACTCCAGTTAACCTCTCTATTTTCTGTTTGTAGAAAGTCCATGAGATGCTGAAGAAGGGGTGGGATGCTGAAGGCTCTCCCTTCCGAGGCCAGCGATTCGACCCGGCCATGTTCAACATCTCCCCCGGGGCTGTGCAGTTTTAATGACCGAAGGAAAGGAAGCCCTCGCCGGCGGGGAGGTGGGGCCTCAACCGTGGCCCTCGGCTCCCTCCTGCCAGGGACTTGCTTGCCTGGTTCACCCTTGCCATCCTTCTTTTCAAGGGGGAACCCGGCCTCCACACTGGCCCTGCATCTCCAGACTGTTCTAGAGCAGGGCAGGGGCTGCGTGGCCCGTGCCGGGTGGGTGTTAGAGAGCAGGGGGTGTCCCGGCAGGCGCAGCTCCAGCCCCTCCCGGCCCATTAGCCACCCCCTCCCTCCTCTTGCTGCTCTTGTGCTCTCTGCTTGCTGTTCTCACGCTTGGGGCGGGCGTGGGTGCTGCTCGGCTGTTGAAGCGTGGGCAGGGTTGTGCAGCCTGAGGGCCGAGCTCCTGGCCAGTTTGGGGAGAGCGCAGCCTCGCCCTTTTGCTGGCTGTGTTCACGTGTGGTCTTGCCCGCCTGCTTGTACGCGTTCACCGCCTGCCTCAGCCTCGTTGAGGAGCTGCGGAAACTGGGGTCCTGCCGCCGGATCTGGACACTGGAAGAAAGTGTCTTGTGGCCTCAGGTGCAGGCACGGCAGGATCTGTCCCTCTCCTGACCGGGCTGCTCTGCTGCCACCCAGCCTAGCACTTTTCTCTCGGGGGATCTGGTTCTTGTCAAAGTGAGCTGGGCCAGGCACTCTCAGGAGGCCCCGTGGTGTGTCAGCTGCTCGGTGCAGCCCTTGGTCCTTTCCTGGCTGAGGCCAGACTGCACCGCACAGAGCTCGTGGCTCTGCTCCCACTGCTGTCCCAGGACCCAGAGCCTGTGCCCTTCACCAGGACTGTGGGGCTGCCCTTCTGGGCAGTGACCTTGCAGGTCTCTGCAGCCTGGAACCTGCGCTCATGAGCTATGTTCTCTGGGCTGGGGGAGGAAGGAGCCCTGTCCGGGGGGCGTTCTTTCTGGAGACTTCCCCCTTCAGCTGCAGAGGTGGCAGCTGCTTCATCACAGTCTGTGGGGGCAGGTTCCTGGCTCACAGCACCCTGTAGACACATCCCTGGGTCCCTGGGAAGCGTTTGCTTGCTCTGATGCCATCACAGGAGGCGTGGACACCAGGTGGCTGGGGGAAGCGCCACCATGGGAGCACAGGGCCCTGCTGTTTGCACTTGTCACCGAGGCTGGTCACGGAGCTGCTGGAGGCCCCTCTGTAGCGCCCTCAGGATTTGCACACCTGTCCCATGTAGTGAAAGGTCTCACTGGCATGTGTCTGTGAGAGAACCATTCTCAACACGCCCCTGTCTCCTCCTCCCCTCCGACACCCCCGTGGGGTCTTCTGCCGTGACCAGGTGGGGTGTGGTGCCCGCACCTCAGCTGTTTGGGAGACTTTGGGAGCTGTGGACTCGGTGGTCAGTTGTCTTCCTTTTGCCCGATTTGATTTCCAGTGTTGCGTTTCTCCCCACCCCGCCCGCTGTAACAGCAGCTCGCAGGCATCTGGGAGTGTGGGGCTTCAGGAGAGGGAGTGCTCGGTCGCCCTCGCCGTCTCGTGGGAGACCTCTGCCCCTCGCCACCAGCCTGGGCCCTGGAGCCTGTGCACTCTGCCTGTTTTCTCTCTTCAAACCTGGCAGCAGCAGTTTGGCCACTGAGCTCCGTCAGCTGAGGTCCAAGGAAGTTGGGTGCACACCTGCGAAATCACCCTGTCTCCGGTGTTGGTTTGCAATAAATCTGTATTTAAGCACTTGTGGGTCTGTGTGTGACGTTCGTTGCCAAGACAGTTCTCATTGTGTGGTCATTACCTGAATTCTAGCCCTGAGGCCCGTGTACACGGCAAACGCCAAAATGGGAAATTCCTAAATATCTCCCAGAGGTGTTTCTCATCCAGCCTGCATCCTGGCAAGACTTCACACAGGTTTCAGAAATCTAATAAGCTTTTGGTCAGGAGAAAAGATTGTAGCTCTAGAGCTTGCGTGCATTTCCAAACAGGAGTCAGAAGGCTTCAGCCCGAGGGTCCTCAGTGCCCCATTTACCTGCACGGGTCCCGGAACGCTGGGCTCACGAGTCTGCCTGCACCCGCTCCGGACATAACAGGTGTGTGACACATCCCCTTCCTCAGTCACATGGCAGCCTCTCCGGAGCCCCTGCCGCCCGTTCCCCCATTCCAGGGGCCATGCTCAGTGGGCAGGACCTGGTGAACATTTCTTGATAAGCATTTCTTGAATGAGTGAAGAATGTGCAAAGGGCTCAGCAGTGGAATTACCAAGCAAACTGCAAACTCCCAGGGCAGAAAAAATCTGGCAGGAGGGAGAGGCACCATCTCTCAACAGTTTGCCTCCAAAGTGTGCGGGAGGGAGGAGACTCAGGAGTAGTCTATGTGCCAGTGTGTCCAGGAGGTGGCAGCTGCCTTACAAAGACCTGACCACCCAGAACCCAGTCTGGGGAACAGACCCAAACCCCCCTCCATTCTGCTCCCCAGGCGGCCAGCTGGCAGCAGGCTCAGCCCAGGTTGGACGACTTGTTTCCGTGAATAGAGAGTGGTGTGTGGACTCGCGATCGCCAGTCCTCGGTAAGCGCTCTCTCCCTCTTGGTCAGAGGGCAGGCTCCAGAGCAGAGCTCCTGCCCTCGACAGGGGTGCGCACGTGGGACTGGTCCCCCCTGGTCCGGGAGTCGGGTGGTTGCAGCCTGGCCGCTGCTGGGCATACCTTTCCTGGACACCAGGTTGGCACGCTCTCTCTCAGCTCCCTGATGCCCCCGTGGATGTGGTTAGGAATCCCGAGGCCCCTCCTTCAGGTCCCTGTCACAACTTCAGGGGCAAGGAAAAATTAATATATTCTGTAGTCTCAGACTCAGCTCACCCCTCAGCCAGTCCACACGAGCATGGTTTTATCTGGTCTATTCTATCTTACGTCCTTGGTTTTATTCTTTACAACTGAAGGTTGGGTCACCGGCTTCCCTTCAGAGGGAAGAAAGGACCGTCGGGTGCCAGCTGGGGGTCCTAGATCCTCCCCTTTTAACCCGGAGCCCTGAGCTGGACGCCACTCTGCTGTCCTAGCCCCACTCTGCAGGCTCTGGCACCTGCTGCTGCTGGCGTGGGGAGGGCGGGGCTGGGGTCATGCACTGCAGCCCACCCTGGGAGAGTCTGGCAACTGACTCGGACTTGGTGGTGCGGAGAGGGGCCAGCCTGGTAGAACAAGAGTCACGCCAGCTGTGGACAGAGAGCCAGTGGGCCTGACGCGGCCATCCTCCTGCAGGGCAGGCCCGAGCCTGTCCCCTGGAGATGGAGGCCGTCGCGAGAGACGTGCCTGGACCCGAGAGTGAGTCAGGGCTTCTCTAGGGAGCTCGGGCCAGGCCTTCTACCACCTCTGTCCTGGTTCCTCCTGGGAGGGATCCTAGGCTTTTGGGCCAGCGCTGGATGGGGCATTAGGGACATTTTGGTTCAAACCCCCACTGTGCAGTGGTCGCAGAGGAAGTGTCACCTCCGAGGCGTGAGCTGGGCCCCCGCTCCTGCCCCCATTCCCAGCGTCACCCCGGAGATGGCCTGGCCCTGGCTGATGCTCTGCAGGTGGATGATGGAAGGAGGGGGGAAGGCCCCCAGCATTCGCCTACTGAAACCCTATCAGCCCAGACGTTGCAGAGGAGGACCCTGAGGGGTGGCTAACTCTGGACGGGGCCACCGGAGGTCACGGTGAAGCAATGGCGCAGCAGGGGTTTGGGGGAGGTCCCTCCTGCAGGGATGGGGAGCCTGCTCCTTGAGGGGCCGGGTTATGACCTTGCAGGGACCGGGGTCAGGTGCGTCGTGTTACGCTTAGGATCAGAGCAGTGTCCCCTGGTGGGCCTGGACTTGGGAAGATCGCCGAGCTGCAGCACAGGAAGTCAAGAGGCCCCAAAGATGGTGTGCCTGGCCCACACAGCGTCTCACAGGGGGTTTGGGGTTAACAAGAGGCCAGGGAAGGGCTGCAGAGCGGGGGCTTCAGGTGGGGAAGCTGCCAGCAGCCGCAGTGACCACCTGTCAGGGCTGGGCCGGTGCAGAGGGCGCAGGGGCAGGAGACCACGGGCCAGGGTGCAGGGTGCCGGCAGAGGGCGGAGGATAGCAAAGGGAAGTGGGAGCAGGGGCAGGAAGGAGGGGAGAGGATGTGCCCTGCTGGGCCCCGTCCATCCTGTGTGTCCTCAAGGTGAACAGCCCCATCCGTGTCTGGGAGCGTGAGGCATCAACGCGGGCCACCTCCTAGTCTCCCAGGTGCAAGGTTTGTGCCAACTCCTCAGGGGAGCCATTAGCCCTTGGTCAAGGGGGAGGCAGGCGGTGTTTCTGGAGCATTCCGTCGCAGTGTGTTGGACTGGACAGCATCAGGACATCCTGGGTGCCCCCTCGGACTGTGGATCAGCGCCTCCCAGCGCCAGTCACAAGACGACGCACCCTGTGTTTACGCTGGATGGAGACAGCGTGGCCTCTGGAACCCCCGACTTCCTGGCTTAGTGACCCATATAAAGCACAGAGATCTGGGGTGGGCAGGCCAGGTGGAGCCCACAGCACGCCCACATACCCCAGGGCCTGGGGCCAGGGATGGGGGAGTGGGCGTCCAAGGGGTCCAGGTCTTGAAGGCCAGGGTCATGCCTTGGATTTCACCCCAAATTCCTGAGGATTCGAGCAGGGGGAAGCTTCTGATGTGTGCTGAAGAGGAGCAGGCTTGGGGAAGGGGAGTGGGGTGGGGGTGGGTGGGTGGCGGCCAGGCCCCTTAGAGCCCCCGTCAGCTTCTGCGTCCTATCTGCCTCCCTTCCTCCCTCCTTTACTAGCCCCCCCTCCCAGTCCTCCCTCCTTATTTCCCTGCCTGACCCAGCTGGTCCCAGCTCACCTCGCATGGTTCCAGGATCCTGGCCCACGACCTGCTCCACTAGGAAACTTGAAACCCTGTGCTGGTGGAAGGTGCAGGCCTGGGCCCAGGTGTGCGGGGTGACAGGTCCTGAAAGGGCACCTGTTGACCCCTCCAGGGGCATCGTAACCCCATGGATCCCCCTAACCTGCCCCCCTCTCACCCCCACCTCCATGGCTGGAGGTGCACCTGTGAGTCTCCCCAACCTTGCCTCAGGCTGGAGGCCACCACTGGGAGGTGGAGGGTGCCTGGCTCCTCATGCCTCAGTTTCCTCAGCTGCAGAATGACCCATGCTTGCGAAGGGCCTTTGGTGCCTGCAGCCCCTCTGGGGTACCA